AATCTGGAGTCACAGAACCCGGCCAGGATTTATGAAGGGTACAGGTTGACAATTGTTTCGTTCTTGTAGTTCATAGGTACTCCAGAGAGAGAAAATTCATTTACAACTCCCGAGCAGAAAACCTGGAGTTTATAGCAATATTGCATATTGTCTGCACTGAGGGATATTTTTTTATAATCAACTTAGAGGTTCTTCCTATTAAAACTTACCCAAATTCACCATTTTCACACTGCAGACAACTGGGATGTCTTCCTGGACAGTTAGCACGGAAAGGGTACTACTGGCAAGGCAGTCATACTACAGGCAGCACCTGCATGATTGTCTTTCTCGCATTCCTGCACGATATCATCAGGTCCCCAAGCATAACAGTTTTCCCCTTCCCATGCCCTTCTGGTACTTTCTCTGATTGTTATAATGTGATATCACAGCAATTTCACAGTATGTCTCTGTTTGAAGAAGAGAATGCTTTTTTTTGGCTTTTCTCAGGGGTCTAGGGAGGTCCAGGGTCATTACTATTATTTGAGGCTTCCACATATTACTAAATAAAAAAACACTACACTAGGGCTACAACAATTTTGACTGTTAACAATATTAACAGTTAATAGATGAATCACCATAAAAACATGTTGCAATAAAATCACTCTATGGAGAAGATATTTATAGAATTTATAATATTCTGTAGAGTGCTTGGCCCAGTAATGTGAGATACATTGTAAGTTAAATTTGGGTGACTTCTTTCAAGTTTGTCAGTAAATCTCTGACCACATGCCTCTTGTTTGAAGATCATCAGCATTTCGACACATCAGGCATTTCCTTAACATTTCCTTAATTTTCTTAAATCCCAGACCCTGGGAGCACTGGTTCTCCCTGGCTCATTTGTGATAGGTCTTGGCTTTTCTTGACTATAAGTTAGCAGCCTCTGGAGCACAGAAGTGGGGCCTTCTACATAGTCTTTCTTTCCCTGTCCACAGAATAACATCTGGAAAATAGAAGCTCAAAAAAACACAGTGTGTTGAATTTCTCATGTTCATATTTTTTCAAATTTTATAATTATCCTTAATACATGATTATTTAACAAAAAAGACTTTTCTGTCCCATAAAATCTGAATATTGACTTGCTGTCTCTCTTTCTTCCTGGAAGTAGGAAGATGGTGGCTAAACCATCATGGGTAGTGTTGGTGGAAGGGGCTGGATTCTGAATGTTTTGAAGAATTTACTGATTGGTTTGAGTGTATGAGAGAGAAATGAGTCATATATACCTCCGAGATTTTTTGCTATAACAACAAAAGATTCTTTTACTGAAAAATGGGGACTAATAGGTCATATACACCTCCAAGATCTTTTGCTATAACAATAAAAGTTTTCTTTTACTGAAATAGGGACCACTGAAGAAAGCAGGAGGAGCATTCTGGGGTAGACTGTGTGTGGGGGGGTTAGGATTAGAAGTTCTATTTGGACATATGGAGCTTAAATTGTGCAATAAACATATAGGTAGAGATAACCAGTATGGAGTAGTCAAATTAAGGTGTTATATATATTCCCTAACTTCCCATCTCCTCTCCCATTTTAGAAGAGAAATGACTTTCCCCCAAATTAACCAGTCAAGCTCTGTTTGCTCTCCAGGTTCTTCCCTCCTCCCCAGGAGGCACAGGAGGGTGGTGGGGAAGGCAGAGGGTCATCAGGGCTCAGGCACCCAGCGTGGTGGAAAAACGGTCTTTGGGATTGATGGTGTATTCTGCTTTCCATGACGTTTTCCCTTTAAGCATCAACATATTTTCTGGTGATAACCAAGAAACACACATCCCAGATATCTGTAGCAAAAGATGATGATGAAAGCCTTGGGCATTTAATGATTGTGATAAGAAACATAGTTGATCTGGGCCTGAAGATGGCGTATGGAGTGGTGGTGAATGAAGGTTCACAAAGGTACAATCTATCATGTTCACCTCCATTTTCTTGGAGACGGCAGAAAAATTGACCCTGCTGGTTTATCAAGCTTTAGGAACAATTTTCTCTTCTCTAGGCAATGACCAAGTTTGCAAGTTCCAATATATTATACAGTACAGTTATTCTTGCCTGTATATGGAGAGACTGAAGAAATAATTTAAAAAGAAGCATACATTATAAAAGACATTGATGCATAGTTTATAGTAAAAACAAACCAAAACCCAAAGAAAACCAAACAGAAATAGTCAAGGACCAGGCCACAAATTTGAAAACCTCAGAGATTTTTTTTCTGATGAGAGAATTTACTCTTTTGATCAAATTTTGACCAAAATTGGTCCTGGTTTCCTTTTTGCCCATAGAAAAATAAGATCTAAATAAGAAGCTAATTTATTTCACCTGGAGGGAACAGGGGGTCACCCCACCCTCTAGATTACTATAAGCTTATCTCCCACAACCCCTGCTGGTTCATTCTGCTCAGGAGTGCAACCCTTACATGACCCTGCCTGGTGTGCATGCCTTCCTCTTCTATGCTGTGAATGTATGTGACTAGTAAACTGCTACCAGTTTCATCTGTCCAGTGTTGAGGGTCGTGTGTTCAGCCATGTCTTATTTAGGGTGGAGAATAATCCCTCCTTCACCAACAAGGGGAATAGCAGGTGATCAGAAATACAGCCACTTTTCTCTTCTCTCCAAATCCTCGTTCTACAGTTTACCTTGCCTCCCTGTTCTGTCACAGATTTTTTTTTTTTGAGGTTTCCTAGAAACCCTTAACTGTTATTCCTCCTTCTATTTGTTTCTTCTGCCTATAATCCTCTTCTTGGTTGCCTGGTAAGCTCTTAGTCATTCAAGTTTTGGCTCAAAGTCTGCCACTTTTCCTGAATTAGACCATTGCCAGGGCAAAGTTAACGCAGAAAATCTATTTCACTCAGTTTCACTCAGTTTCACTCAGTAGCCATGGTGATGACCTTTGGTCAAACTGAGAATTAAAATACTGGAATGTTCAGTTACTGGGCAACGATGTTATATCTGAAGGAGTGGCTCACTATGAACCAGGTTGTCAGCATATTGGAAAGAAACATGAATACACATGATGTGTACCTGGTGTCTGGTTTGGGGTCCACCCTACGACTGGTTATGTGGTAGGTATGTGACTAGCTACCTTTAAGAACTTTGGGGTTTAATACTCAGGAGGACTTGGCTGGGCAAGCACAACTCACACATTCCTGCAGTTCACAGCTGGAGAGAACTGTCATCCCTGAAGATGGAGGACAAGAAAGCCTTCTCTAGTCTTTGCTTGTGTATTTTTTTTTCTTACTGCACTTTTGCTTTTTTGTAATAAATTTTGAGTATGTGTTGAGTCATGTGAGTTCTTCTAGAGAATCACTCAACTAGTGGGTGGTCACGGGGCTACTATCATTTTCCCTTGTTCCCATTGCACTGTGTATAAATCTTAAGGAAATATTTTATTGTACTATACAAACTTACTTGTTTAAGTAGGCTACTTAATGCCTTTTCTTAATTTCTAGCACAGTATCTGACATATCTGAAATAGGAATCCTTTCTGGGAGAGGAGAATCTGAAACAGTGCACACATATACTTTAAAAAATGAGCATAGAGGATAGTTGTTAGAGACTGTCAAGGAAGGTAGAGGGTAAAGACACATTTACTAGTAATGACAGAAGTTGTTTTCTCAGGTTAGAGTTCAAAACTCTGCACTCTGTCTCAGACTGCTACTTATTTACTCCATGGATTAAGACTCTAGTAGTTGCAAAGAATCTGCTTGGCAATGGCATAGCAGATTTCTGGTCTACTGCCATAACCTCAGCTTCAACTACCTAACAAATATTGCTTTCTGAATTATGTATAGAAGGAAATAAAACTCCTTACCTCAGCTTCCACTCCTTTCAGCTTATTTCAGCATTTCCCTGGCTTCATAGGGCAAAGAGAACTGTCATGGTAACTGGTGGCAACAATAGCACGCTCACTTTGGCAACCAGAAAACTAGTTTATTATGAGAAGATATTTTGGTTAATGATGACTCAGGGTCCAAGAATGACGTTCTCTAGCAGTAGTGAATGTAAACAGCTTCACCTTTATTTTCAGAAAGGAGAAACATAAAACCCTGGTTCTACTTTGATTTCTCTTTTTTATTGTGGAAATGAGGTATAGAATTTAAAAATGGGAAAACAGCAGACTAGCAGAGGATGGTTTCGATCCATCGACCTCTGGGTTATGGGCCCAGCACGCTTCCGCTGCGCCACTCTGCTCCACGAGAATAAGGTTTCTAAAAATTCTCCTTAACTTTGTTCTGAAGTTGTTTCAACTCCCAAGAAGAGTACAGGAAGCTGCTAATTTATTTCAATACTTTGTCGCGAAATGCCGATTCTCTTTGGAATAATGTCGCTACGCGAATCAAAGAGAAAACAAAACTAGGAGAGGAGTAAACACCAACTTACTGTTAAGTAACGGGGAGCAGAAATGAGGGGTGGCCAGCTATTTAAATGACGATTACAAAGTTCAATGGAAGGAAAAGGAAAGAGGAGCAAGGAATCGGGCTTCTGAGTGGCAGGCGAGAATTCTACTACGGAATCACTAACCCCATGTATTTGCCTTTAGAAAGAAAATTCTGGTCAGATTTCCCTTGGCTTGGTGATGGAGCGGATGTAGTCTGGCAGCTCTTTAAACTCCTCCGGAAGGGGATTTCAGAAGGAGTTGCGCCGCAGGGAGAAGTGTGGCAGCACTGTAAACCATGGGTTCCAGCCAGTCGCGTATGCCAAGACTCCAGTGCAATCGTCCCAAGCAACAAAACATAATGTGAAAAGTTAATTTCTTTAGTCTCATATAGTTAAAAAGGGCTGAAAATTCCTATCTGGGGACGCAGGATGTGCAGCTCGGGAAAGCACACACGGAGGGCAAGCTCCTCCTACGGGCGGGCGTCCGTGACATCCCCCAGAACTGGGCTAGAAAAGGCGGAGTCAGAGGGCGAAACGGTAGTTTCCGCTCGCGCGCTTTCAGTTTTCAAATAGGTCCGATATCTGCACATATAATGTCGCCTTTGTGCGCCCCTTGCTAGGAGCTTCAATTCTGGTCATCATGTCAGGTCGCGGGAAGGGCGGGAAGGGCCTGGGCAAAGGCGGCGCCAAACGCCACCGCAAGGTGCTGCGGGACAACATCCAGGGGATTACCAAGCCTGCCATCCGCCGCCTTGCCCGGCGCGGCGGGGTCAAGCGCATCTCCGGCCTCATTTACGAGGAGACCCGCGGGGTGCTGAAGGTGTTCCTGGAGAACGTGATCCGGGACGCCGTCACCTACACCGAGCACGCCAAGCGCAAGACGGTCACGGCTATGGACGTGGTCTACGCGCTCAAGCGCCAGGGCCGCACCCTCTACGGTTTTGGCGGCTAGGTCTACCATTTTCCGTAACCTTTCACTTTTTAAACAAAAGGCCCTTTTCAGGGCCGCCCACATCTTTATGTAAAAGAGCTAGCATGTTCCGGCATACGACAACCTCTAAATGCACAACACCTAAACAATCTAGGATCCGTATTTTGGAAGTCCAGTATTAAAAGCTTGAGATGGTATTTCCTACTGGGGTGGGTAAGTACAGCGTTGTAAGTACAAACACTTGCATATTTTAATGTTTACGGTGGCAGTGAAGAGCGTCACGTGGCATTTTTGCCTAGTTTACGAGTTCTTCAAAGTGAATGCCGGGTTTCTAGAATGCTAAGAAGAATTAGGGTTCAGCTGTGGGAAAGGGAACAAGGCAAGCCTCTCTGCCTGTTTCTCTGCTTAAAATGGCGGAAAGACGGGGAAGAGCCCGCACCCAGCGACGGAAGGGGGTGCCTTGGAACGGGTGCGACTTCACTAGCCGAATGGAGGGATCTCCGGGCAGCCGCGCGCCCCTCGTCTCCGGTGGCGTTTGCGTGACTGCTCTTGTTGACTAACCGTCTCTTATAAAAGGCACTGAGGAAAAATAACGGCACTCTAAGGGAGGGCTAAGTATTAAGCAGAGACTAGTAAATTTGACTTCCTATTGTGAAAAGTTAGGAAGGCTGTTATTTAATTATATAATTGTCACCTAAACAGTTGGTAAGTAGACATGGCAGCATTTTCAAAATGTATGGTATCCAGATATTTCACCCCAAATTATTTATACACTAAAAAAATCCTGCCTTATAATCATTAAAACCAAACTCCCTTTTAATAGTTCACATTAAAAAAAATCCTTATTCTTGTAATGTTTTAGATAACCTGGCTTGCTCTTGATGCCGGAGTTCTTCGCGGAGCCGAAGAATGAAATTTGCAAACACTCAAGGTAGGAGAGCAAGGCAGAGGCTTTTTTTAGGGAGCGAGAGGACAGAGGTCCTGGCTCAGGCCTGGAGGGGACAAGAGAGTCCAGGGGTGGTGCATTGTCTAGGGGTTTTATAGGCAGTTGAGAGACAAAGGGCTAGGAATGTATAGCTGCTAAGTGGTTCCAAAATGTTTATCTTTGAAAAAACACTAAGTTTCTTATTAGTGTTCCTGGTTATTTACAAGAATTTTATTGCTCTGATTTCCTCCCAGGAAGGATAGCAGCTTCCTGGTCTGGGAGCATATCACTCAAGGCTGCCTGCTTTGCTCCCAAACTGGGCTGAGTTACTGTCTGTTAAAAACTTACTTTTTAACTAATTGGGTTTTAAATTGCATCTTATTTTCAAGATGGAATCCTTCCTGTTTTTACTACATTGTTTTGGGCTTGCTTGCTACATTGCCCAGGTTGCAAATCATTTGTTTAGGGCTGGAGGAAGAAAAGCAGCACCTGAGTAAAGTCAGAAAAACAAGCTGGGCCCCCCAGCAGGATAAAGCAAATCCCACAATGGATTATTCTGCTTTGTTTTTTCCAGAGGCCCTCACCCTACTCTGCAGTAAACCCATGGTCCCTGTCTCACTCTGAGGACAATCCAGTCAAGCCTTTGGTTCTGTTTCAGTGTAACCCCGGGGAAAAATCCCGGGGCAAAATACCTTTGAACTGAAATCAGTCAGAGAGAAATGAACTGGGAAAAACCCCTTTATTGCTTGCAAGCAGCTGTTTGCTTCTGCTTGCCTTTGTCTCACGACCCCGCTGCAGAAAAAAAGGGGCCCCACTGAACCTCTCAGCTTCAGATACACCCTCATTCCCCCTTGTGGGGCAATTCCGGGGAGTTCTCAGGCCTCTTGAAGTCTATTTGTGGAACCCAGCTTGAAAGCCTTATATCTAAAGCTGTTTTTTCTCTTCCCTTTGCTACACCAGCTCCTGATCTCTCTGAAAAGATGCACCTTGAGAATACAAATCTGATTCTTTCGAACTGGTGTTTTCTTGCTGTGGAGATAACTGTCTACACAGTAATATAGAAATTAAATAATCTATCCAGAGATTTCACTTCAACTACAGACTCAAGATACTAAGCTACCATTTGACTTCTCTACCTGGTAGTCTGTTAATACCCACTTCCAACTTGAGCAGGCCCCAAACAATTTCTGATATCATAAAAGAAGCTTCTCTCGTCATCTTAAATTTGCTAAATGATAATTCTAACCTTTCAGCTGGAGGTTTAATCCTACATTTAATCCATCAGTATGTCCTGTCAGCTCTGCCCTTGAAAACATGCAAGAATCCAAGCATTTCTCCTTCCCACTATTAGTGCTCTGAAAAGCAACTGCCATCTCTCACTTTAATTAGTGTACCCTCTATCTTCTGGGTCTGATTTTGCTCTTCTATTCTTCACACAGCAGCCAGAGGGACTGCAATAAAGAGTAAATCAGATCAGGCCACTTCTCTGCTGAAAATCCTCCAACGGCTCTCATTTCACTCAAAGTAAAAGGCAAGTATCTTTCGATGGCTTACAAGGCCCCCCTCTCTCTGGCCTTTGTTACCTTGAAATAGGCTGCTCTCCTTCTCTTTCTTAGCTAAGCAGTACTGTCCCAACAACTTTTTAGAACAGGGCAAGATACATCTCTTTCAAGGATTGTGTACTGTCCTCTCTGCATAGGCCATTCAGCTCCCAGATTTCTGTCGGCATTGCTCCTTCATTTCTCTCAGGTTGATATTCAAGTATCATCCTTTCAGTGAGGCTGGCTGTGAGCAGTGTGGTCACAGCTACCCCATCCTGACCCCTAACACTCTGCTTTATTTTCCTGTTCTAGAGGAGCTTGCAGTCTATTTGGAAAGTCAACACATAACCCTCATAAAAAATGAAGCAGGAATGGAACTCTACCTAGGATGTCAGAAGAGCATAATCCAAATCCTTAGTGAGAGTGGTAGTTGACATTTGGACAAGCAGCTTGGTAGGAGGCTTCAGAGGCCCCTTAGACCAGTAACAGGAATCTGGATTTTACTCCAGACAACAGGGAACAGAGTTGCTTTTTTTACTGTTTTCTCCATATAGTTTGCTCTGATTGTGGAACCATTGTCTTTTATGAAACTAGTTGTTGCACTTAGCATATTGAATTTAAATTGTGTGTTTGCATCTCTTTACCCTTAGAATGAAATTCTACTGACTTCTCAAAGTGGCTGGATGAATGTATATGAATGAAATGGATATAACTGAATTTACAATTGTTAAGATAAAATACTTAACTGTACCTAAGAAGCCTTGAAGGAAAGGAAAATACTTCACGAAAGACCCTTTAAAGACAAGGATGTACATTAGTAGCAATTTTGGCAAAGTGCTTTACTTATCTTTTCTGGACATCTACAGACTTTTGGAGTGTAAGGGGTGATTTTCTTTTAAACAAATTCCCAGTACATTTAATAGCTTTTAAAGTAACATTTAAATTTAAAGTAACATTTAATAGCTTGTGCAGCTTCTGTCTTTTTGTGAGAGGTGAAGTGACTTCCACTAATACATTTGTACATTATCGTTAACTTTGTGATTCATAATTCTAGATATATATAAAAGGATATATTAACTACCATACAAGTTATAAAGGATTGTTGGGAAGCAAACATTTTCCCGTACCCTTAAAGGTTCTTCTCGATGGTCTAAGAATTAAATTGACATGAGACAGATTAACAGGAGAAAATCGAATTTAATTATGTAGGGTTAATCTGCACAGACATGAGATTCCAAAGACGATCAAATAAAATGAGGTATGTGTGTTGTCCTGAACTAAGGAGAGGGGGTTAAGAGTCTAGGACTTCAAAAGGAAGAAAAGCAGTTCACTGGAAGATAAAAAAGGGTAAATGTTTAGTTAAATGTTTTCTGGTTGTTGGGGAGGAAGAAATTCCTCTATCGCTTGAGGTTCTTTTAGCTGGTCTAAGAATCAAATTGACATGAGACAGATTAACAGAAGAAAAAACAGAGTTTAATTAAGTATGTAGGGGGAAACCATAGACATGGGTTCCAAAGACATTCCGGGAGAATGAGGTGTATGTCTTCCTGAACCAAGGAGAAGGGGGTATAGGGATCTGAGACTTCAAAGGATAAGGGAAGTAATTCCCAGGAATAGGAAAATCATAAATGTTTGATAGAGAAATGTTTGCTGATCCACACAGAAACAATGAGAGGGCACAAAGAGGAATTTTAACAGATTCAACCACATCTTCCATGTCTACCACACATAGTTTACATTATAATATAGTTATCTAAATTGATAGCTGTCTTCCTAGAGCATGTCCTCTAAATTCTTTTTTCATAGTTGAGGGGTCGGGTGTGTGTGTGTCAAAGTTTCTTTCTGAATCTTTTGGACCCTGATGGTTTTCACCTCAAAGTAATCTGCATGTCACAGGGCATAGTGCATGCCCCAGTAATACATACTGGGGTGACCTGCCCTTGGTCCCTACCTGGGCCATATAGAAACAATGGGACATAGGAATTTTAACCAACAGACTTTGCTAAAGTCCTCCATCTACCACTTCTAGTTCATATTATACTGTAGTTATCTATGGTGATGGCTCCCTTCCTGGAGCAGTTCCTTTATCCAAATTATTTTTATGCAGTTAGGGAGAAGGTCAAAGTGTTTTCTTGAATCTTTTGGGACTTGATTGCTTTCAGCTTCAAACAATCTGCATGCCAAAGTGGCACATTTTGGAAAGGCCAGCCCTTGGCCCCTATGGGATAACATGATAACAATACATGAACCCAATTGCCAACCAGGTATTAAAAAAAAATACTACCAATAACTTGCTTTGACCTAATCTCATCCTCCTGCTACCCCATTAGAGGTAAGCATGGTCCTGAATTATGTCTTTTTTTTTTTGCCTTTTTTCCTTATTTCTAAAAAACCACACATGCATTTATACCTAAATAATATGTTACTTTATTACTTTATTGCTTAGTTTTTGCTATCAAAAGATGGTATTTGTGGAAGAATGTCTTACTGCTCCAAACATTTACAACTTCACATGGTAAGATTTTACTTCTTGCCCCAATGACTATGGTCAATGAATGTGAGTGAAAATGACATGTGCCACTCCTGAGTGGAAACTTTAAGAGCCAATGTATGGTCTTTTTTCCTTCAACATGATTCTTAGGATGAAGATGGGTGGAATTAGAGCAGTAACAGACCCATAGTCAGTATACATTATGAAGAAAATACTGCTTGAATTGGCAAGCAAAGGCAGGGAGGTCTCAGTTACATTAAGCATTAGGTTGTTTCCAAAACAGTTCAGGGAAAAGAGATGGTTCTAAAGAAGGGTTTAGACTTAGAAGAGGTTTGGATTGTTGTTCGACATTGCCAGAGAAGGAAAACTAATTGGTGTCAAATGCTAGTAGGCTTTGTGTGTGCCTACTGCCTTGTTCTAGGCCTCAGGACTCTAAGATTCCAGGGTGGACAGGACCAAGGGCTCTTTCTTATTACTTCAACCGGAGGTTTTAGCCATCGCTATTTTGGAGGACTTTGTGGAGGCAGCATCCCAAGTGCTTTACCTATTTTCTTTTATTGATAGCTCCAGCAATGCTAAGTGGGAGTTACTAATTATTATTCCCATTTTCAAGGTAAGGATATGCTCACAGAGGGTGTAAGTACTTTGCCCAAACTCAGCATTCAAACAGGCAATAAGGACTGTGTCATGTCCTGGGGCATTTCACCCTTGAACAATGCTTCCATCTTTCTTTTCATGAACGCATTGTTTAAGAATGTATGTGTATTAGAGTTGGAGAGCAAGAAATGAATGCCTTAATTATATGTAGCCTTCAGGGAATTTTCTTCAGATCCGTTACAAAATAGAATCACTTATTTAATGTTCGCAGGAATCTACTATGTAGGCATTGGTAGAGAAAGACATGTAGCTAATAAGCAGAAAATGAGATTTTTGAGCTCAGGTTTACACTGCCAATGCCCATACTTCCCCCTCCATACCACAGTCACAAAAAAGTTAACATCCTGCCAGGTGATCCTTAGGTTCCAAATTAAATATATCATATTTATATATATATATGATATATATGTGATTTTCTTTTCTAAAGAAACTGGCTGGTGTAAGGACTCAGAACATGTATGGTATTTTCTTATTTTGTTCTGGTTGCCCTTTGAACTTGATTCCCCTTTCCTGTGATTGCTTAGCCTCTTGCTTGAGATAAAGTTTAACAGTGTGGGAACAGTCCTTAGACTTACACAGACAAGGAGTCATCCATTTCCTTTATTCATATGTTTAAGAATCTAGTTACTTAACCTTAATTTCTTGGGTCGTTCACCTGTAGAATGGGAGATTCCACGTCCCAGGTGATTATAGGATAAAACTAGCTAAGGAGCACACGGTTAATTCCTTGTAAGCCTTTTCCCTTAAAATTTCAGGGAATGAAGAAGTAACTGTGGAAAAGGTCATTCTAGGACAGAAGGTTCAGGGAGAACTTTGGGAATTCTTGGGAAGGAAGATCTTGAGGTTGACAAATGAGGCAGAACCCTCTATCATCACCCCGCCCCGCCCCCATCACAGGTTGTTGGAATTACACGACCCTGGTGTCTTTCACTTGCTCTCGCTCAGGTTTTCAGTTTCTTACATCATTTTATATTACGCTGTGTAGAAGAAAACTAGTGGATGATAAGTTCCTGACCTTGACAAAAGGTAATGTTTAGCTGCGTGAAATAACACTACTTTCGATAAAACTAGTGGGTTTTTTTTAACTGCGCAGTTAGAAGACGGGCAGAGATCGGCTGTGGTTTCGGAAACGCAAGCTGCAGTGATGTTGCGCCGCCGATGCACCTCTAACCATTCGCAACCTAACAGCAAGTTACAAAAATAGTTTCATTTTCCCAAAAATAATTTTACCATAGGTTTAGGGCCATTCAAAGCTAAGACCAGGTTTCCCGTTAATCTCGAACACAGGTAATGGGGATGAAAAAATTAAAGCGGGGAAACCGCCTCCAGGAGGAAATTGTAGTTTTTAAGATATCAATCCAGAACCCAGACTACCTTTGACTTCCCGAGAATACGCCGTTAACAGTTACATGCAGATTTGAACTGATGATTACAAGAGGGGAGACCTGAGGTCTTAATGCTTCTTACGATGACTCTCCCAGATTTAGTAGGTTTGGAGTTAAAGGTCTTTAGGAGACAATGCAGGTAGCTCTTAAAAGAGCCTTCGGATAGACGCTGTTTCAGAAGACAAGTTACTTAGAGCTGGTGTACTTGGTAATGGCCTTGGTGCCCTCGGACACGGCGTGCTTCGCCAGCTCCCCAGGGAGCAGCAGGCGCACGGCCGTCTTGTAATGCGCCAGGCGCGACGCTTCGCCCGCGAAGCGCTCGAAGATGTTGACGAACGAGTTCATGATGCCCATGGCCTTGGACGAGATGCCCGTGTCGGGGTGGACCTGCTTGAGCACCTTGCATACGTACACCGAGTAGCTCTCCTTGCGGCTGCGCTTGCGCTTCTTGTCGTCCTTTTTCTGCACTTTTGGTGACCGCCTTCTTGGAGCCTTTCTTGGGCGCCGGAGCGGACTTGGCGGGCTCAGGCATTGCAAAACCTACTTCACCACTAAAATAAGTGTAAAGGAAAGTGAAGCAACTGTCCTCATTTGTTTGGTTTATATGCAAATAAGGAGTTGTACAGTTACGAGTTCTGACTGGTCTGTTAGTATTTAGGCGGCTGATAGACTCCATTCTATACTCACATTGGCGCTTTCCGCTGCCTAACTATAAATAATTAGACCTTTCAACTATAACGCCCTGTATAAATTAGAAATGTTGTTGCTTAAGACTGCCTTTTGATTGGCTGAGATTTGTGTTACGCCAACAGCACAGGCTGTTTTAGCAAGACGCCGCAGAGTATGAGAGTGTAAATCCTACAGCTCTAGAAGTTGGATTTTTTCGTCAGCAGCTATGTCTGGACGCTGTAAGCAGGGCGGCAAAGCTCGTGCCAAGGCCAAGACCCGATCCTAGCGGACCGGGCTGCAATTCCTCATGGGCCGCGTGTACCGCCTGCTGCGCAAGGGCAACTACGCCGAGCGGGTCGGGGCGGCGCGCCCGTGTACTTGGCTGCGATGCTGGGGTACCCGAAGCCCGAAATCCTGGAGCTTGCGGGCAACGCGGCCTTTGACAAGAAGACGCGCATCATCCCGCGACCCCTGCGGTTGGCCATCCGCAACGACGAGGAGCTCAATAAGCTGCTGGGCAAAGTCACCATCGCGCAGGGTGGTGTCCTGCGCAACATCCAGGCCGTGTTGCTGCCCAAGAAGACCGAGAGCCACCACAAGGCCAAGGGCAAGCGAACCTGCCTAAACACGTTTGTGCAGCTAAATCTTTTATACTGAAAGGCTCTTTTTAGAGCCGCCCACAGTTTTCACTCAAAAAAGAGCTTGTAGCAACTGTGTCAAGCCTTGCTTTCAATTACAAGTTCCTGGTAGTAATTGTCACTGCAAATTACTTCGATGTGATGCAGGAAAATGGGACTAGAAAAAGTTTACGATAGTAAACTAAGGAAGGGATTTCGTATACTTGGGAGGAAGCAAGTTGGAAAGTGCAAAGCTTTTGAGTAGGCTAGATGGACAGTTGACTCCCAGTATTTGTTCTGCAAATAAAATATTGCACTAGACGAGGCAAACTCAAAAGCGGAATGAATCGACTTGTGGGAAACTGCTCAACAGAAGCGCTGGTGAAAACGGTAGCCTTAAATGTCAAAGCCATTTAAAACAGCAAAATGTTAGAACCATTGGCAAATCGAAAATAAGCGCGGGCCTTTCAAATTTGAAATTAGCCAAAATACCAATTAGGCCCCCGTAAAGAAGTCAATCAACTTGTTATGAACTGTTTGCCGGTCACCTACAGGCTAGGCGCTTCATCTGGTTTAGTGGATATAACGGTAGCCCAGGCCACTCGGTTCAGCTCAGAAAAAGTAACAAAAGTAAAATGTGTTGTGGTCCTTGAGATCTTAGGACCCGTTACATACAGCTGCTGAATCAATTTGCATATTTCATGACCTTCCGAGTGGTTCCTTTTTTACAATCTTAGGTGCTGAAGTAGAACTAGAAAATTAAGTCCAGCTTCCGGACTATAAGAAAGGGGATTTGAATATGTACTAAGTTATCCAATCAGATTCTCTAGTAATTCACCAATTCATTCGTTGACTCTTCAACCAATGGTTTTATTGCGCGGGACTTTTGAAAAAGCATAAAGCCAATCAGAATGTTTCTGAGTATATATAAAGGCAATCTCTTACTCGTACAAGTTCGCTCCTACTTTTACCTGAAATGGCTCGAACTAAGCAGACAGCTCGTAAGTCTACCGGTGGCAAGGCGCCACGAAAGCAGTTGGCCACCAAGGCTGCCCGCAAGAGCGCGCCGGCCACGGGCGGCGTGAAGAAGCCCCACCGCTACCGACCCGGCACGGTGGCGCTGCGCGAGATCCGCCGCTACCAGAAGTCCACTGAGCTGCTGATTCGCAAGCTGCCGTTCCAGCGTCTGGTGCGCGAGATCGCACAAGATTTCAAGACCGACCTGCGCTTCCAGAGCTCAGCGGTGATGGCGCTGCAGGAGGCGTGTGAGGCCTACCTGGTGGGGCTCTTCGAGGACACCAACCTGTGTGCCATCCACGCCAAACGTGTCACCATCATGCCCAAGGATATCCAGCTGGCGCGCCGCATCCGTGGGGAGAGAGCTTAAAGCTTTTCCCAAAGTAGTTTAAACCAACTTAAAAGGCTCTTCTAAGAGCCACCCACTTTCTTTGGAAAACAGCTGTAATTAACTCAAAGCAATTTGCCAGTCTTAAGTTTTAATGACTTCGTTTGTGATAGTTTCTGTCACTGGGTGAATACTGGGAGTGTCATGGAACTGCTTAGATTTCAAGTGTTTTTGTTTAGCCATCCTTTGAAGTTTCCTATCAGGTTTGCACGCTAAGTGTGATGTATGTAAAAGTTTGTATATAGGACCTCTGCTGGCTTACGGGAAATTGGACGCAAGTATATTTTCCTGGTGGGTTCTTGCACTTTAAAAATAGCCACATTGTGTTTTAGGTAGAAAAGTGGAAGTTCATTGACAGTTAAGGAAATAGCTGTGGACAATTTGGTTGCTCCTGTCTCACATCTCTAACTTCAGTTTGCTGGTTCCCATCCCTGTGTAAAGTTGAAAGTTTTTGCTTTCCTGTGAAATGCTCTTTTGCACACGGCAGTTGAAAGCACTTTTTTTTTTGCTGATAGTTGACTTCTCATACAAAAAACTAGACCACTTAGGGTTTCTAACGAGCAATATTCTGCCTGAACCCAAGGCAGATCCCCAAGGGCTTCTCAGTCTTTTAAGTAGTAAGTAACGTGGCCTAACCACCAGAGGCATAAGCATCATTTGGGAGCTTCCTAGAAATGTAGCAAGACCTGTCTCAGACCTAACCCAGGTCTACTGAGTCAAAATCTACAATATACCAAATGCTGTTTCTGATTTCATTATGGAAAACAGCCTGCAAACTCTAGCCAGGAGTCAGCACTTGCAAGCTGTGTTCTTATTTCTCTAATATAATGTTTTCTATAACATTTGCACACAACAATCCCCAAAGATAGTTTGATTAAATATAGATCAGTGATCTCAATGTTGACTTGCATGTTATAGTCAATTGGAGGTTTTATAGAAATATCTTTGCCTGCGGTCCAATCAGTACTCATTTAATTGTCATCTGTGGGGGTGGGGCCCAGACTAATAATTACTAAAACTCATGTGTTTCCAACAGGTAGCTAGAACCTAGACTAGATGCTCCGTAAATTTCAATCTTGTGATTACCTCAGGTTTGAATCCAAGTTTATCAAGGAATTACCTAATTGAATCAGGCTTTCCTCATAGTTTGCCTTTAGAAAGAATACACTAGTTTTCAAAAGGGCTTTCTGACTTGCTTGATGACTGCTTAATCTCACTACAGTGAATCAAAAAGCACCTGGCTTCTGCAGCACTTACTGAGGACAGGGCTAATGTGAGTCTACATTGAGAGGTGAAGCTGCTTTCAGTGGTTGATGATTACCAGGTTTTGAAGGATGCTATGAGGAACATGCTGGACGTCTCTGCTGACAACTTGTGGATACTTGTCTGTCTTCACATTGGGCCTTTCCTATAGGGATTAGCACAAAGTCCTGTTTGTTTATTCAGCTGTCTTTCTCCATCACCTTTGTTTATTTATTTAGCAATTTATGTGTTTTCCAGATTTTTCATTTTTTAAAGCCTTTTATTATGTGGTATTTCCCAAAATAAATATGGAAGTATAAATAATACTTTAATAACCCTACGCACTTCTCACCCAGCCTCAATATCATCACTAGTCAAATGTTTTATCTGTACCTCTTCTACCCACTGCCCTGATTATTGTAAAGCAAATCATAATATTTCCTCTGTCAATATTTTAATACACATGTACCATTTTAAAACCTAATTATGCCATTAATACTACCCCAACAAACAACATTGTTTAACATTGATGAATTTTTAAATTTATTTACTCTACATATATTTGTTGAGAGTTTACAATGTGTGCATGTAAAGTAGTGCTGGAAAACTGGTTTATACAAGCACACCCTGACTGCCGCAGTCTTTTATTATCTTGAAATTGTGTAGTTCCCATCGTCCTGTATTCCCACCAAACAAAAGATATAACAAAACATGCTGTGAGTGTCAAGGTCAGAGATTCCAGGGGTGGCCAGCCTGGAGCATCTCCTTGGTGATGAAAAATGTCCAGATAGCAGACCTTGATCTTGGAACACTGGTCCTGCCGGGAGGGGAGGGGCCCTGGATAGTTTAGGTGAGTTGCTACAAAATAACAGCTTGCTGACTGTAGACCCCAGCTGCTTCTGGATTTCCTGCATGTGACTTCCCCCAGGAGAACTTCTGTCTGGATTGCTGTTTCCAGGTTGTCTCTTCAGTCTTTCCAAACCAGTGAAGATGGCACTCAGAAGGTACTATTTCAGCAAAGACTTGAAAAATGAGGAAGCAAGTTGTGAAAGAAGAGGGAAAGAGCTGAGGTGCCAGGGTGGCTAAATGGAAAAGTGACCTCAAAAGAAGCTAAGGGCAGAGAAATAAGTGGAAGCTTGATCAAGAAGGGCCTTGTCAGCCACTTTAAGGAATTTGGCTTTGGATGTGAGTGAGATGCAAGCCCTTGGATTGAATATAGGATTTTTGTGCTTGTCTCATTTTAAGCAGGTTCTGCTTTATTTTTAGTTATTCTCAGTTGTGCTCTGGTACAAAAATTAGGCCCAGTTTTCTTTGTTTTGTGCTATTCAGACTTTGTAGAAGCTGATCTGAAGCATTTTACAGTTAGGGAGAAATGAGAACATCTATAAAAGTTAGTTTGGAGTTAAACTCGATTAATATTGCTGAACTTCAGTTCGCTAGTTTCAAGGCCACAGGCAAAATGTTTATCCCCAGGTAACAATCTCAGTTTATTTGGATTGCAAATTCAACAGTCTTCAGGGTACCAGGCAAGAGGCTTCTTTTATCAGGGACAGTGGTAAACTACCCAGCTTTATTTCATTGGGTAATTTAGTCAGTAGTGGTTTTTCTGCCTGAAATCAAACCCTCTGACAGTTGCAAGTTTCATGTATGTAGAATTTTCAGCCTTTGTTATGTTTTACCAAATACAGATGTTAGCAACACCTACCTTATGATCTGTTTAGCTAGTAAAAGATTCAGGATTTTATCAGTTCAAAAGTCTGTAATTTGGCAGCAAAGGACACCATCAGCAGAACAAAAAGGCATCCTACAGTATGAGAGAATATATTCGTAAATGACATATCTGATAAGGGGTTACATACAAAATATATAAAAAGCTCACATTCATCAACATCCAAAACACAAATAACCCAATTAAAAAATGAGTGGAGGATCTGAACAGACACCTCACCAAAGAAGAAATTCGAATGGCCAACAGGCACATGAAAAGATGCTCTGCCATCACTTATCATCAGGGAAATACAAATTAAAACCACAACGAGGTATCACAACGATGGTCAACATCGAAAAGACAAGAAACATTGTGGTGAGGATACAGAGAGAGGGGAACACTCCCATACTGCTGGTGGGAATGTAAATTAGTTGAACCATTCTGGAAAGTAATATGGAGGTTCCTCAAAAAACCAAAAATAGAAATACCATTTAACCCAGTAATTCCACCCTTAGGAATTTACCTCAAGAAAACAAGATCCCAGATTCAAAAAGACATATTCATCAATAAGTTTACTGCAACACTATTTACAATAGCCAAGACATGGAAGCAACCTAAGTGTCCGTCAGTGGATGAATGGATAAAGAAAATGTGGTACATATACACAGTGGAATATTATTGAGCAATAAGAAGAAAACAAATCCTACCATTTGCAACAATAACATGGATGGAGCTAGAGGGTATTATGCTCACTGAAATAAGCCAGGCAGAGAAAGACAAGTACTAAATGATTTCATTCATTTTTGGAGTGTAACAATGAAGCAAAACTGAAGGAACAAAACAGCAGCAGACTCACAAGACTCCAAGAAGGGACAACAAGTTACCAAAGGGGAAGGGTGGGAGAGGGTGGGTGGGGAGGAAGGGAGGAGAGGGAGGGAGAAGGGAATTAAGGAAAATTATAATTACCATACAGTATAGGTAGGTCACAGGGAAGGCAGTATATAGCATGGAGAAGACAAGTAATGACTCTGTAACATCTTACTACACTGATGGACAGTGATTGCAATGGGGTGGGGTGGGGACTTGATAATATGGGTGAATGTTGAAACCACAGTGTTGCTCATGTGAAACCTTCGTAAGATTATATCTATCAATGATAATCTTAATTTTAAGAAAAAGAAAATAGTAGTAAAGCTCGAGTTTAAGATGCTCTGACTTTAGAGTAAATCCTTGCTCTAGCGAGACTACACTATCACATACATTTGTATAAGTCTAGCAAGAGGACCAGGAACTAAGAAATATGCAGAACAGGATCAATATTCATATAAAAACAAATGTCAGGTGCTCACCTTTTTGAGACCTTTTTAAAAGCTTTCTATTAAGAAAACGCAGTAATTAAACATCAATTTTTTTTAAATTAAAAAAACATAATTTGGTACCTATTTAAGATTATTTTATTTAATTTGAACAATAGCTATGGGTTGGGGCCATTTTAGCTGTGGGGAAAATTGTAACATTTCCAGAATATCTCGACTGGCTTTAGTGCATTTGCATATCCTCAGGGGTGGAGAGAAGTTCATCTCTATATCAACCCAGCATGGGTCTGAACCTAAGAGTTTAAAAGGACCGGCTGGCTTGCTTGCTTCCTGGCTTCTTTCAGAGCAGAGGAGAAAGATGGCCTGGGACTGCAGTTTGTGAGCAATAAACGGGTTTTAAACTTTATTTCTCCCTTTGACTGATTTCGGATTTTAGAGGTATTTTGCCTCGGGATTTCCTCTCCCTAGACTAACATCTGGCGGCAGTCCGCAGGGTGCCTCTGAATCCGATATCTGTCATAATGCGTAGGACCTTTGGGAGAGCTGCTCCTGTGGATGGTGGGGAGGTCCCAGTGGATGCAGCCACAACTTGTTATTATCCCCCCAATAGGGAACCCCTAGTGGGGGGTTGGTCTAGGGTAAAGTACCTCCTAGAAGGGTGGAAACACCGGAAGCTACAGAATTAGCTCTCCGTGAGTTGAAAGATTGCGTGGAGACCTCAGGGGGCCGTGTAGTGGCTGGGGTTGTATGGTCTCTTTTCACTGAGACAGTGGAAAATGTTATACCGGAGAAAGGATTATTGAGAGGGTTAGTGAGAGAGAGAGGGACTTAGGTGGGAGAGCGACACACTTCAGCATCGCTTGGAGGAGCTGGGCGATAACATATGGGATGCTGTTAAAGAAGAGAGTCAGTTACTGAAAAGGCAGCTTAAGCTCCTAGAAGATTCCTTAGCAGTGGCGAGGGGGGAGACGGCAGGAAAAGCCGCGGGGAGGCGGAAGAAAGTAGTGCCGTCAGCCCCGGAAATGGTGGAGGAGGAGCCGTTGGTGGAGAAGCTGGAGGGAGAAGAGGAGGAGGCGGGCCGTTGGCATATCTGCTACGCAGGGCCACGTACCGTCTTCTGCTGTTTCAAAGGCCCGCCTAGCTGTAATAAAAAAATAAAAATGAAACTACCGCGGGCTTCTCAGGGGTTAGAGCAGCCCCCTCCCCAGGTTGTGGAGCACTCCATGCTCTGCCCCTATACCCTGGATGAGCTGGTGGACATGAGTGTCCAGTATAGGCAGAGGCCATCGGAATCTCTGCTTACATGGCTTTTACGTCTCTGGGATATGGGTGTGGTGGAAAACATTGTTGTGTATGGTACTGAGATGAGTAGAATGGCTTCCCTGAAGACTCACCCTCCCCTCCGGCAGAGGTTGAAAAGTGCCCGTCATGCCTCGGAATCAGACACTCCTGGAATCGCTGACAGCTGCCTTCAGGAGAGTTTGGCTTAATTAGGGTGATTTACCATATTTTCCCAGTAGTTGGAAAACGTATGCAGAGCTCCAACAGTTACTGCTGATGCCAGGGCTTCTGTTCACAAAGCCGAAGAATGAGCTTCACAAACACTCAAGGTAGGAGAGCAAAGTACAGGCTTTTATTTAGAGAGAAAGTGAAAGGACAGAGCTCCCGGCTCACGCAGGAGGAGACAAGAGAGTCCGTAGTGGTGTGTTGTCTAGGGGGTTTTATAGGCATATGAGGATTTTTTGAGAACATGAAAAAAAGCTTAGGGGTGTGGACTTATTAATTGGTCCTAGGATATTTAGAATAAACTTGATTCAATTAACTTCCTGCTCTGTTGATTTCTCTCTGAGATACCAGCATCTAGGTCTGGGGGCATATGAAAGAAGGCTACCTGCTCAGTCCCCAAGGTGGGCTGAGGTATTGTTTGCTAAAGAGTTAAATGCAATGTTATCTTTAAGGTGAAATCCTTCTTGCCTTTTACTGTGTTATGGCTGGGCTTGCATGCTAACTTAGGTTGCAACAATAAGGGCATTGAGGGAAGTACAGGGCACGACTGAAAGGAGAAGTGCAAAAGGCCCCATGAAGGTCTTGAGGACCCAGATGTGGGTTGATAGGATAAAGGCCTGGGTAGTGAAAGAAAAACTCTATGGGCAGCCTGATAGAATATTGTTAGATCTGTGGCACCAATTAAAGCCAGAGCAGCAGTTCCAGCTGCTGAGGTCCAGGACATGGAAACCAGAGTCAAGGCCTCATGCCCAGCCTGTGTCCCTGCAAAACTTCATGGGAGACAGTACTCAGGATTTGCCTGAGCCATCACCCCCACAGGAGGATGATTGGGCATCATTGTTCGACTGAGGGGGTGTCAAAGTCCCCACCTTGGGGGACATGGTGGGGACCAGAGGCCACATGTATAATTAGCAAGTCATTGGTCCCATATGAATGTACCATGTGCCCTGGCTCTGGTGGACACAGGAGCTGAGTGTTCTTGGATTCATGGGAACCCTGAGCATTTTCCGGGACCCCTGGTGTGATAGCTATGGGAGTAAGTAAGGCAATTAGAGTGAAGAAAGCCCACATTTCATTTACTCTTGAAACTGTTAATTCAAATCTACTGGGACAAGAATTGATTACATAGGACTGAATGAACTGATAAGGGGTGTTGTAGTTGTGGGTAAAATTGTAACATTTCCAGAATATCTCACCTGGATTTAGTACATCTGTGTATCAATAGGCGTTCAGAGGTGGAAAGAGGTATGGCTTTAGTGTATTTGCTTCATTCCTCAGGAGTGGAGAGAAGTTCATCTCCATATCAATGGGCAAGGAGAGTTTATCTGTACCTGAGGTGATGGGGTGGTCTTGCTGCTGCTCCAGCAGGACAGAGAGATGGGTTGGACCGCAGTTCTGTAAGCAATAAACGGGTTTTAAACTTTATTTCTCCCTTTGACTGATTTCGGATTTTAGAGGTATTTTGCCCCCGGGATTTCCTCTCCCTGGACTTACAGGGGGTAAGGCAATTAGGGTGAAGAATGCCCAAATTTCATTGGGGATAGGGTGTTCAGCCCCAAAGGAGTATACTTTGTACATTTCTCCCATCCCTGAATATATTTGGGGGATAGATATCCTGCAGGGACTGTGGTTACAGACCACTGCAGGTGTGTTCAGACTAAGGGTATGTGTGGTAAACGCAGTTCTGAGGGGACATGCTAAGCACCCACCTGTAGCTCTGCCTGTACCTCAGCGGGTGACAAATATTAAGCAGTATAAATTGCCTGGGGAGCACAAGGTAATTGGAGGAACTTTACAGTAATTGGAGAGGGTGGGCATCATAAAGCCCACTCATAGTCCTTTCAAGTCCCCAGTGTGGTCAGTGACAAAGCCAGGTGGATCCTGGCTTATGACTGTAGACTACAGGGAATTGAATAAGGTCACACCCCCTTTGCATGCTGCTGTCCTCTCTATAGCAGACATTCTGCACACCCTCAGCCATGAACTCGGCACGTATCATTATGTAGTAGACCTTACTAACACATTCTTCTCTATTGACATAGCACAGGAAAGCCAAGAAGTTTGCCTTCACCTGGGAAGGCTGGCAGTGGACATTCACTGTCCTTCCACAGCGATATCTCCACAGTCCCACCATCTGTCATGGATTTGTAGCCCAGGAGCTGGGCCACATGGAGGAAACCACAAACAGTGCAGTTATATCACTACAGTGATGATATTATGCTCACATCCGATTCTCTTTCTGATTTAGAAGGTGCAGTTCCTAGACTGTTGCAACATCTACAGGAAAAATGATGGGCTGTGAACAGCACCAAGGTTCAGGGACCTGGTTTGTCTGTAAAATTCTTGGGGGTTGTATGGTCTGGTGAAACTAAAGTTATTCCTGAAGAGTTACAGACAAGGTCCAGGCTTTCCCCACCCTCTACCACTGTGGCAGTGTTAGAAGAGGTTTTGGGTCTTTTGGGTTACTGGAGAGTGTATAGCCCGCACTTGGCACAAATTCTGAAGTCCTTTTACTGGTTGGTATAAAAGGGCTTCAGGTGGGACTGGATGAGACATGTGCAGCTGCTTTTACTGCTGCCAAGTGAGCAGTCAAGTCCATAGAGTTATTGAGTGTAATGGACTCATTAAGGCCCTGTGAACTTGATGTTCACGTAACCAAAGATGTTTATGGATGGGGTCCTTGGCAGCGACTTGAAGGGACACATTGGATGCTGGTCACAACTATGGAATGGAGCAGATGTCTGATACACCTTGATAGAGAAGCAACTGGCTGCTGTGTACCACACCTTGGTAGCTACAGAGCCAATTGCTGGAACAGCTCCAACCAAGGTAATAATCACCTATCCCATCGCTGGATGGGTGTGAGACTGGACCTAAACACCACCAACTGGCATGGCATGGACACGCAGACTGGCCAAATGGAGCGCATATTTACAGCAGCACAGCGCCCTCTCTACTAGCCCCTTAAGTGAAGAACTCCAGTGCTTAATGGGGCCAGTGACCTCTACCAGTGGAAAGCAGGAAGAACTTGCTTTTCAGCCCTTGGTGGGTGAGACTCCTTTTCAGGGGTGAAAAGCATCTCTACCTGAAGATGCTTGGTACCCAGATGGCTCTAGCCGTGGGCAGCACCTGAAGTGGAGGGCTGTGGCTTTCCATCCTAAGACTGAGACAATATGGATGGAGGATGGTGAAGGGAAGAGCAGTCAATGGGCTGACTTGCAGGCAGTATGGCTCATGATGACCCAGGAGCTTTCCCCCATAGTTGTCTGTGTAAGATAAATTCTAGCCGAAATAAGCAGGTGAAGAGAGGCAACAAAGGGCCAGGTAGTTTATTTGAATGCAAATTCCTGGGTGAGGTTTCTCAGTCTACAGAAATGAGGCTGGGAAAGTTGCACCCAACAGGGCAGGCAGCAAGTTTTTAAAGAAGGTAGGGGGAGGCAGAGCTTAGATTTACAGAGGCGCAAGGATTGGCTTGCCTAAGGCATATTTTTCAGGTTGGGAGGGGGCAGCAGCCGGGGACTTTGGCACGTCATGAGTGTCTGAGGTGCTCACCCTTACCCCCAGTGCCTTCAGCCTTACATTCCAGCCTTTTGGTCATAATGGGTGATGACTTGATCTGGCTACTTCTGGTTGACAAGGGGCGTCTTGGGGAGGGGTTTCATAGCATGTAGTTACATTGCTCTGACTGCAAATATCTTGCCTTGCTTTCTCCAGAGGCTCTCACTTTATTCTGTCTAAGCTTATGGTCCCTGTCTCATTCTCTCCTCTACAGATAGAGACTCTAGCTGCTGGTAGGGAAAAGGGGTGATGACCGCTCTGGCTGCTTCATGCTGAGAGGGGGCGCAGTAAAGGGTGCAGCTGGGTCTCCATCACTGGTCAGTTGAGAGGGCCTCAGAAGGTTGGCGCTTCTATTCTGGGTTTCATTTCTATTACTATTTTCAGTTTTGTGGCTTCTAGGCAAGATAGAACAAATTGTTATTCGGTTAAGTGGCAACATCTGTAGTTGGATTTTCCACTCTGGAAGGACAAATTTTAGATTAAGAATGCATGTCTGAATATGAGAACTAGAAATATGAAGACTTTAATTGAGAATCACAGCCAGGTATCATGGGGAAACTAGAATTCTGGATCGAATTTACATCTCAATGACTAGTCTTAGGATTTGGTATAGATAAGACTGCATTATTGAAACAATAGTTTTCTCTAAATTCACCCTCATTTTTATTAGAAGTAACTAGGTTAAGAAAATAAGTAACACTTGGCTTAATGCATAAGTGCAGCAAGAAGAGCAATTGATTACATAGGTTCTTTTAAATATGCTTTGCTGGAACTTTTTGTAAGGAATTTCAGGTTGAATTTTTAAGGGCTTCTTGAGGCCAGAAAGCCAAGCCAGACTTGCCATCAGGTTGTGCCTGCAGTACCTGTAGATTTGGGTGAATTCTTCTCTTCTTGAGGTTCTCAAGACATTCCTGAGGTTCCTGCATCTGCCAGGGAGTAACCTTCTTTACTCACCTGGTAGGGCTGCTGGGAACTCTGTAAACCAGGTACCAGGCCAGTTCTTCTAAGGGGCTTTGTTGGCTTTATAAAGTCAATCTCAGTTCCTTAAAGCTGTCTGTTCATATCTGAGTTTACACATGTGTCTCTCACGTATGATGTTCCAGTCAAAGCCTTGGTAATACAACCAGTGTTTCTAATTGGTCTTCTTACAAGGAAAGCAGATTCTTATTGAACTTGTTCAAATAAACATACTGCCATGAAATATAAAAATAGTCACTGAGAGTCTTTTTGTTTTTTTAATTCTGGAGGGATCAGGTAGAGAGAAAGATAAAGTCTCAATTCTGCTTATAAAGGCAGTCATTTACTAAACTTTTGTCAGCTTAAGAGAAAAAGCTTAAAACACTTTATCAGCAACATTTGAAACAAAAAGCTACAAAATCATCTTCTTTAGTTTACTTAATCTTACATAACTAATACTTGTTCTGCTGAAATCTAGTTCTTTACTAGCTTAAGAGTAATAAAACAGTGACT